CTCTCACAATAATCAGAGAATCGTTCCAATTCTTGACCCTAAAAACCATGAAAGCCCATTAAAATGCCAATGACCCAGAAGGAGGAAAGTCGTGAGAGCTCGAGGGTGTCACCAGACACGAAGGTGTCGCTCTACAGAGATTTTAGTTCCACGTCAAGGAGAATTGTCTTTTTAAGAGACAAAGCATTATCTGGTAATAGAATACTTTTGTTTTGGTTACTGGCATGAAGTAAAAGCCAAAGGACTGAAGATCTTCAGACATAATGGTGATGAAAACTATAGCTTTGGTTGGGGTGTTTTTCGTTTTGTCTTTCTGTGTATGACTCGGATATTTTTAGTTCTTCTATTAGAACTTCTTATTCATGAATCTAAATTTACCCACAAAGCAAACCCAACAGAAGCCAGCAGGATAATCCCTGCACACTCGGTCACTCTCACGCTCCACAAGCAGTTCATGTAAAGTGTGCACACCACATGTAAACACCTTGGAACAGATTTTTGAAGCAGTTTCTCGCAGGCAAGCAAAGTGTGAACTTGTGAGCGAATTTGACGATAGAAAATAAGAATGGTTACGACACACACGTTTAGACACACACACACACAAACCCTGCTGTGACCTCAGCCAAATAAACACAGATTCAACCAGCCAAAGAAAAGCCTCTCTGCTGTGCTGTATAGTCTTTAGTGGTCTGCAGTGGTTCCTCACATCAGCTGAGAGAAATGCAAAACACAATCTGATGAGACTAATAGAACTGTTCCCAAACCCACCAAACCACCCACTTTGGATATTTGCTGTTAATTCATTATCACTTTCTACCCTTTTCTACTTCTTGTGTGTCCATTGCAGGGTTTCTTAGACTCTAGTTAATCGCAGATGCTGTTTGTGGCCTTTAAACGCAGCACAATGGGATAGCTTGCTGGCTTATTGCCACTAAAGCAGCCAAAATCTCTGGCAAAAGTAAAGCAAAACAACAAAGTAAATGGGTTGAGATAAACTTTTTCCTCTGTGAATGCAGTGGAGATAAAATAGGACTTCTTTTTTAAAGTTCATTTGAAAATCTTTAGCATTCATTTCTCTCAGACCTCATGAGAGACCATGTAAAGCCAGTGTTTTTTAAATTCAGACATTCACTGCATTCACCTCTTTATTTCTCCCCCCTCTGACACTCCCCCAGCTCTCTCTCTCTCTTCCTTTCTTTGGGTCAACAGGACCTTCTGAAGGACTCTTTACCCTCTTAGCATTAAAGAGATTATATTTTGTGCTGCTCGCTGTCCAGACTTTGATTTCCTATAGATCTCATATTTGTGTTTTACTTTGTGGTTGAGAGGTTCATGAATGAGCTGTGGAATGAAAAGAATGTCCAGAAACTAGGCTGTTCTCAGGGATAAGAACAAAACAGCTTGGCATCTCAAGGCTGGGTAGTGCGCTCACAGAGACTCTTTTCAGAATTCACCAATAGAGCTTGTGGAAAAGGTCCACTGCAGAATTCCACTTTACGTTTTCAGTCGTTCAGTCAGCTCTGAAGTTTCCCATGGGGAGCTTGGATCAGTTTAGCCTCTAAGCACCAGTTATCTAGCGTGTGTTTTTGTCTGTGTGTGTCTAAACGTTTTGTTTTCTGTTTTTTTTCCCAATTTACATTTGAATTCCTTCTCCACAAGTAGTGAAGGAGTGAAGAACAGAAGAGCCTGAGGAGAAAATGGAGCAGAATAGTCAACGTTACAGAGAAAAAAACCACCCAAACCAATTTCTGAAACTTCCTTGAGTGCTTATCCAACAGTTTGCTTATAGACTAAACACATAAGAAGTCTCACTTTGTTAAAATGTTAATTAGGTCATGCTTTTTAACGTAAACTGAGGCTGTAAGCCCGAAGATCTTCATGAACAAACACCTATATCTACATTAAAATCAACTCATCTTAAATTGTGTTGACCGCCTTGTCCTGCTTTGCTCCTGTGTGCTCACCCAGAACAAACCCTGGTGTTTGTGTGGACAGCTTAGTTCACCAAATACCAACAAATCCTGGCCCAGCCTTATGTGGGCCCACCAACAGCTTAAAGAAATATTCCGCTGCACTGCTTGTGAAGATATCTTGCTCAGTGACAATCTGTGGATTGATATAAACTTCTAGAAAGGAGCAGTAAGGACAAGAGACTTTCTTTTCTTGTGGAAATTACAAAAAGATTGTGACAGTTTTGTTTACTGTCAAAGACGGCCTTAAATGTGGCTTTTTAGAGCAGAAAAAACTATAATACTTCAACAGCATGTAGGGTTGGCATATATACTGGTTTTTTTTATTATTTATATTGAGCATTATGTAACATCTAAGACACCCTTGCAGTTCACTTCCCAACAAGAAACTTTAATCAGTTTTGTCAAATTTTGTTTCTTTTTTTTCTTCTTTCAGCTGTTCTTTTATCAACAAGTCATCCTCCTCCATCTCACTCTTGTCGTCTGCATCCTTTGTCCTCACCCCAACATGTCCTCTCTCACTGAATCTATATACAATATCTCTACTTTAAACTTCCACCATGCAGGGAGCCCACTGCATACATTTAAAAATAAATTTAAAATAATTTGTTAGGTTTGTTTGAGCACAATAAAAAGCCCCTAAAGAGCACCTGCTTTGGTACATTTCCCATAACTTAAACAAAAGTTTCTACATCCTGCCATACTTTTTTCTTTCATTTGGCCTTTTCTTTTTCTTTTTCAATGTAGCAAGAATTCTCTTTAAAGCTTATTTGGTTTCTATTGATTATAAGATTAGGGTTCATACTCTATTTGTTATGGTAACTAGCTTTCAAGTTTTTGAGCTCCCATGACTTTTTTTTCCAATTTAATCCAAAAGCTAATCTTGGGTTTGATATTTTGCATCCAAAGACTATGTCATTAAAATGTATCCAAAGATCTAACTATTAAACATCTGATTAGTGGAAAGTTCAGTTTGCAGCATGAGCAACATCTTCCTCTAATTTTCAACAGTGAACTTGGTTTGTCTGTGATATATTTCCCCCTTTAGCTTTAGCCACAATCCAGTGAACACAGCCACACTTTGATGTGGTGCACACCTGAGACAACATTTTCTTTCCCTTAACTTGGCGCAAAGTGTGAGCCTGAGAGCTGAGTGCATGTCTCACGAGCATGCATAAGAAATTTATTTTAGGGTTCTGCAGAAGTTCATTTGGGTAGTTACTGTTGAGTGTTGCATTTTTCAGGACTAACCAGTAACATGATCTTTAGCGCCCATCACTTGTGAGACAACAGCTGTGGTTCACAACCAGATTAAGAACATTCATGTTCAGAGCTCTTACCTCAGCCCAAACATTACAAAAAATGTCTGTGATGTGAGCTAAACCACAGGAACTTTGGGCAGGAATACTTTCTGTGACACTGAATCTATATGTTTGTGTGTCTTGAGCTCCCTCTCTTACATGCTGCAATGCAAAAAAAAGTTCCAGAGTTGGCTGGGCTTTCCTTTGTTTCACTTGCACTTTTAAAACTACATCATGGAAATATTTTAATGTCCAAGCCAGAGTTTAAATGTCTGTACTTGTACAAGTGTATAAGTTTGATTTGGGTTGTTGGGACTAGGGATGCACGATATTGGATTTTTGGCCGATATGTTAAATCTTATTTGGCCGATAACCGATACCAATAATTTATATATGTTCCTTTGTCAGAACATAGCCCTCTTATTTAGGCTTATTTGCCACAAAAATTGTGCAACAGCTGTAAGAGCTGGTGACATATATTCATTAACAGCCATATGATATGAATAACACTTTGACTTATATTAAATGAAAAGTGTTAAATGTTATTTATTAGCATTAGTCACCTGCGATGCTGTTTCACTTGTGGAGGCTTGTTCCAGGCTCCTATAGCTGCAGTGTGGGATCCTCTGCACTCCTGTGCATGAAGGACAGACTTTTTAAGTTCAAAGTTTTGTCTTTCCATTGGGCCGTAAGACTAATCATGCTAACGGGGCTAACATGATGTCAAAATGTCTGTGTTAAAACTCACCCAACAAGCCGTGCTTTCGGCTATTAGCTTCTCAACGACGTCGGAATTGATGGCTTGTAACTCCGGTAGCGTTACGTTGGAAAAATATCTCAGACTGGGGACGATGTAGCGAGGCTCATCGTAGTCCATAAATCTTCGGAATCCGACGTCCTCACCAACAAAAAATAAAACTTCCACACCGCTGACATTTTGAATTTTCCTCTCCGCCGTGAGATCAGGTAGGTGCACACGACATCATCATGTTGTGCAGCCGCTGCAGTCAAAAACAGCACCTTTTATATTGGTGAGTTATTTTAATGAAATGGCCAATGTCCGATATTGAACTTTAACGCTAATGTCGGCCGATACCAATACCATGCCAATAATATCATACATCCCTAGTTGGGACCAAATGTGATATACGATCACACTTGTGTGGTTGTGTGCTTTTCAAAGCAAATATTTGATAGAATATGTCCAGCTGTATGTTGTAGCTCCTCTTTTCTCTGTCAGTTTATCTTGGACATTGGTGGATTTGTTTGAAATTTGAATAGAAGGAGGTTGTTGAAGACAAAAATTGGTTATTTCTAAAAATGACCGGATCTTTTAATGGACATTTGGGCTTTTTAACACTACGCTGTCCAAAAAACTTACACTGCACTGACACATTGGTGATTGGTTTCCTTTGTATTTAAAAGTGGACCTGTGGGTGTTAGTGTCTGTTTGCTCTGTCAGAACTCAGTGGTACTAAAAGATGGAGCTTAATAGTCAACAGAAGCAGCAGCAGTCTTTGCTGTGTAAACAGTTTTGTGTAATGTGAGGATGAGCTCGCCTGTGAAGGTTTTATGTGCTAATGTGGGTTTTAACTGTACTTTTTTCTACAGCTAACAGGTAAGTAGATTTAAAATTGTATATTCCCAATGTTAGGTTTGTCTACAAGTTAGGCTGGTATGTATGTGTACGTGCAAGTGGGTTCATAGTTATCCGTATGTGTATATGTGTGTGTAGCTATGCTGCCGAGCCTGGTTCTGCATCGTTCCTCTGTTCATCCATACCAGAGGGGTTTTTACTGCAGTGACTCCAGCCTCAACTACCCCTATAAGAGCAGCACCGTACCCTCTTCAGTGCTCACTTCTGTTGGCTTGACACTGCCCGTGGTGTCCGTAAGTCCATAAATGCCCCTAAAGTGCTCAGCTGTGGAAGTAATGAGACAGAAACAGGGAGGGCTTGAGGTTCATGTTTTTTTTTACGGTTGACGATCAAAAATGCACGTGAACTGAGTGGTGATTGGAAGTGATTAAACAGTTTAAAGCTTTGTTTTGATTTATAAAGGTATACTTTATGATATGTCCTATTTCTGTTTGCAAATTCCTCTGTCTAATAACCCAAACAATATTTTTTGTAGACTACCAGTATCCAAGACAGAGAGCCATGTAATCAGGTGCTGTTTTGAAGAAAACAATTTATTTTTCATTTAAATAAGTTTTGATAAATGTTCCTTTTTTTTAAAGGCTATTTATAATTATAAAAATATCAGAATTTTTAAAAACTTGAAAATGGTCAATACCAGAATTGACAAGTCAGAGGCTTTTTCAAAAAATGGAAATTGGATTTGGCTTTGTAGAACTGTTTAGGTGCATTTCTGATGGATTTGCTACAAAAGACTGGAAAATTTTATGTATTTTTTTTTTAAAACAACATTTACATCCATTTTGGAAAACTGTCACTCGTCACATATATAGGTGTTCACACTTGACATCCTCAAGCTCATCCTTTTTCTGATATCCCATGATCCCCTGGTGCCAGCATGCTGCTTGTGCTGCTCGTGTTTTCTCCTGTTCATGTCTGTGTCACTTACCTAGTGCGTTTATGCTTTCTTTCTTTTCTCCCTCTTCCTGTCTTCTCTCTCTTTGTGTCTTTTGTAGCTAGCCTGCCTTTCCTGATCATTGAGACTAGCACCATAAAGCCATACCAGCGCGGGTTTTACTGTTCGGACGAGTCCATTCGCTTCCCCCGAAAAGAGGGAGACACCATTAGTGATGCCGTGCTTTGTGGCGTTGGCATTCTTATTGGCATCTTCTCTGTAAGTCAACCTTCACACCTCCATTTTTACTGCTTCAGTATTTTTAAATACTTAGATATCTATCTTTTGACAAACCCATAGAAGTTTTAGTTATTTATCATTAGTTTTATCCCCATGAAGGCGATGTATGTGTCTCCTCTTCATTCCATACCGTTTTCTCCATCACACTTCACTCCTCCTTTTCTTCTTTCAGACATCCTCCAATGTTTTTGTACGTTGCTTGCTCAAGTAAGTTAGTGGTAGTGAGAGGCCTCCAAAAGAGATTAGGGAACATATGGTGCATAGGTGAGATTGTCCTGGGCCATTTTCCGACATTTTTTTTTTACACTTTTACACCCTGGCTCCATGGTACCTCTATGGCCTCTGTGTCCTGTGCCATACTTTTGTGGAATTTGCCTTTACCTTCGGATGGTGGTGTATCTCTGGTAGCCTGCGGTGTCTCACAGCATCAGGTTTTACTACAATTACAGGAACTTTACTTGGATATTGAGAATAGTGCTATTGTTGTGCAAGTAAATTAAAGGGGGTTTCAGGCCTACTGGAAATCATGATGACTTTTGGTGGGTGTATTTCAATTAGTGCCACATGGGTAGGGTGGGTGATCCTTACAGCCCCCAGACTCAGCATGCCATAGTTCCCTCATATGTTCCCAGACAAAGTCGCCATCTCGCTGCCGTCTCCTTGCCATCAGCTCAGCAGGCACACACACACATACGCACACACATATATGTGCACTCTATACCAGCTCAGCTCTTCTGCTTATTGAAAGCAGGAGCTTGAGCTTGTGCTAGTTAGTTTCCTCACGTGTGGGCAAAGTTGGCGTGTTCTACACAGCTGCCTTCTATTAGTGGCATCTACTGCCATGCCAACACAACTCCTTTAACAAGCCCCAACACCTAAACACTCTGTAATGCAATTGCACATACGTATACATACACAAGTATACATACAGATTCTAAAGCAGATTCTTGCCTTCAAACACAAAAAAATTACAATTGTTTTGTTGGTTAAGACATATCCATGTCTGCTTGGCTGTGTTTCTACAAAGTATCATAAAAAACAGTTTCCAACAAAAAGGCAACATTCTAAAAACACTACGCAGCAATGTCCAAATGAAGCCATTAAACTTATATATATATAAAAGGTTTGTAAGCTCAATCCAGGTAGATAAATACAAAAAAAAAATATAAGTTAAATCAGGTCATCTGGAATGTTTCCTTTTAGGGAGAAACGTTTCATCTTTCATCTGAAAGACTTAATCAGTCTGAAGCATGCCAACCCAGATCTGTCTTATAAATAGCCCCCACTGATGTGTTTAAAGCCAGCCTCCTGTTGCATTCTCAGAAACTGACTTTACACATGCAAAAAAGGGACCATCCATCCAAAACAATGGATTATCATGCATAACAATAAAATGTTTTAGGTCAGATGACTACTCACAGAAATAGTCTGAGGACACCTGGCCAAAATTGATTACCAGTAAATAAAAAAATTATACATTAAACAATGGACCCTATGGATTTATCAGAAATGGCTTGTCTGGTCCAAGACAAGTAGGCACAGAAATAAACTAAAACCATGAGAAAGAGAAGTGAAGCAAAGGTCTGAATAAAAATGCTGATAACCCAAATAAACATTTGTGGCCTGTATACCAGCCACCTGTGATTTTATTTTGTTCTGATCTGAACAATTCATTGACAGAAGCACATACAAACACAGAAATACTGTACATCTGCATTTTTATTCATTTTGGATGCAAGTCTCTTAGACCCTTTTCACAAAATGCTGTTTTTAAGTGAAACTTGGGTGGCCATTCCTGTAAATGACAAATATCCATATGCAGAGATAAACTTGATCGCAAGATCGTTTTGAGTCACTTTGGCCATGGCTGCCTCAAAAGAGTCAACCGGGGAGAGAGCAGACTCCAGAAACCATCTTATCACCACCAAACTGGTTGGCCCACTATGTGAGTGTGCTATTTATGAGACTGAATTTGTTGTGGCTCCTCGGACTGATGAAGTCTTTGGATGAAAGACGAAACTTTTCAACACAAAGTAACCGTTGAGAGGACCTGACTTAACTTTGTTGGATAATTGTTTAGCTTCAAATTAGGACCATAGTAAGTGGATGTATAATGGGCCGTATGAAGGAGGATAAATGGTGCAAATGTGTGCACATGAACTGGGCTTGTAGCTGGCCCAACAGTTATGTATCCATGATGTAAAGGCTTGATTGACATCTCTGTGCTTTGAGCTTTGCTCTGTTAAGAATATTAGAGATGTTTCTGTGGACCCCAGTTCTACCCAGAACCATAGATGTCAAAAATAGCCTGCTGGATTTAAACATTTTAGCAGATAAAGTTCAGTACAGCATCCTTACATCAAAGTCAAGTTAGACCTAGTTACTTTTCCAGCCTTGATTATTTGTTGAATTTTCTTTTTATTTCCTCATTGCCTTCACACTTTATCATACACACTGAGTGCACTATAGAGTAGCACCCTTTCTCCATCTTCCATCCCATTCAAACTGCCTAATGGAAAGGCAGGCCATGCTTATTGTGTATGTTTGTCTGTGTGCGACTCTCACTCATTCTTCTCTGTCATTTTTTCCACTAAATTTTACGTCCCAGCCTGAAGTTGATTTTTTGCATGATATAAAATAAGCCTTAAATATCATAGTATTGCATGGTTTTGTGCATGTAAATGTACCAGTGTGATATTCAGAAACGTCATAAAACATCATCATGTTGTTGTAATCAGTTTTTTTTCCGTTTGTACAAACAAATGTTTTCTTTAGATTGTGATTGGAGAATGCTACAGGATCCACCAGCTACAAGAAGGAACCAAATCAATTGTTGGAAATCCTTATGTTGCAGCCCTCTATAAACAGGTCAGTTCTGTGTAAGAATAACATTCTACAAGTTGTTTTTTATGTAGCTGAACAATCTTTAAACCTCTCTCCTTAGAATGTTTAAATCAGTCAACGTTTTTGTTAGATATGAGAAATCTACTTATTTTAATTATTGTTTGCAAGAATAGCACATTTGCTCCACTTCTTTACTTTGCATCCACTAAGAATAAAGTTGAACAACACAAATGCCAAATAAATAAATAGGTAAACCAATCGCAGAACCAGTGTTAGAAAAATTCATGTATAGCACATAAAGCCTTTGTTCAACTCTGCACACGTGTGTGTGTGTGTGTGTGTGTGTGTGTGTGTGTGTGTGTGTGTGTGTGTGTGTGTGTATATAT